GAATTAGGTATAGTGATGAGATTAACAATTCATCATGTATATTACAAAGACTATTAACTGATCAACATGTGTTGAAAATGCTTCCCTTGGTTTATTATTCGTCATTTAATTTTTTTGTAGTGGTTTTTGCCTGCTAGGATTGCTTGACTCTATTGCCATCAAACAAATGGGCTTTTATTTTATAGTTTCTGCGTTTGATAGCTTGATCACCGGAAGAATATATAAGTAAATATAATGCAAACACATTAAAAACATTCAGACAGCATAGAAGAGTATAAAATAAAGAGTTAACTTATTTTTCATCCTTTGCCTATATCGTGATCCTAAACAGCAAAGGTATCTGATTTTAACCATTTATGGGTTTATTTTTTCTGATTGTTATTCTTTGACTCTTAACAATATGCATACATTTTCATTTCTTGACTTAGCAACTCCACATAGCATCTGTTCATTTCCTAGTATGCCAGATGCAGAATTTTAGTTAGCTTCTCCCTTCCTTTCTTTCTCCTTTTTTTCTGCTTAACTTCCACAAGAAATATCAGTTTTGGTTGTGAGCACCTTTATAACTTTAAGTAACATATTAATACTTCAACCTCTATTTCTTGATTTATCAACTTTAGACAGTATGTCTTAACTAAGTGATCCATTCCTAATAGAGGAAATCACATGTAAAAATGGTTATTCTCTAAGTTTCCTGGATCATAAAATGCCGTATTTATGAAGAAATGCTTCACTAGAAGCAGATTTATCTTTAGTCATTTTAATAAAACCAGAAAGATCTCTGTAAGTAGAATGAAAGATATTGATACAAATAAGGGTAGGAATTATATTTATATTTATATAGCATAAGCTATGTAGATTACAGGGCCTTTACAACCGTAATTACTTTATTACTCAGAATAATTCCATAATGTATATGGAACAACTATTCTCGCATTTTCTAGATCAATAAATTAGCATAGGGAGTTTATGGCCATACAAAATTACGGTAGCGGTCATCTAGGTCAGCAGTTCCCAGACTTTTTGGCACCAGGGAACTGTTTCGTGGAAGACAATTTTTCCATGGATTGGGGGAGGGAATGGCTTCAGGATGAAAGGCATTCTCAGGCATTAGATGCTCATAAGGAGTGTGCAACCTAGATCCCTCACATGCGCAGTTCACAATAGGGTTTGCACTCCTAGGAGAATCTAATGCTGCCCTTGATCTGACAGAGGCGGAGCTCAGGCAGTACTGCTCACTGGCGCACTGCTCACCTCCCGCTGTGTGGCCCAGTTCCTAATAGGCCATAGACCAGTGCTGGTCCACGGCCTGGGGGTTGAGGACCCCGATCTAGGTTTTGTTTTGTTGTGTTACTATCCAGCATCCACTTTTCCTTTATCATGGCAGTATTACCTGAGCAATAATTCCACCTTTCTCTAGTCTCAGCTCATGTGCTTCCAACGAAGCTGATTATATACCCTTGAACTCATGGAGCAAGTGACTTAGACCCAAGCCAATAAATGCTGTACCTTTACTGGCCATAGTGATTATTCCAAGATAAACTGCATCAGAATCTATGAAAGGTACTAAAATTTAGTCTGGGAATGGTGGAACAAAAATTCTTGGTCAAATCTCCTGAAGAGACAGCCCTGGGAAATGCTGGCAGCCATCTTGTAACCAGAAGAGAGCGCTAACCATGAAGTTGAGCGAAGAAAGATTCCTGTTCATTTCACTGGATCCTTGACTGAGCCATTTCTATTACTGGTGTTCAGTCACATCAGCTAATACAGATTCCTTTTTTGTTTACCTCAGTTTGGGTTGGTTTCCTGTCAACTGTAGTAATTGCACAGTTAATTAGTGGCAATTTTGACCCAAATCTTCTGACTTTTAACCTAGGCTTCTTTCTACTCTATCATGCTGCCTCTGAAATTAAGGTTTTTGTTCAGGATTCAAAAACACACACCCCTTGAGATCTCTTCCATATATCTTTTGCCTTCCTTCATAGCCTATTAAACAACATTTAGAAATGCAAATGTATCATGTGGAATTCATTTGTGAGGCAGTATGCATACATGTTTGAGCATGACATTCCCTTTATGTTTGAAATAATAGTATGAGTTAGGGACAAGCTAATTTCAAAACTTTTATGTTAAATAAAGTTATTTGCATTTTAGCACAAACAATTCTGGATCATTTTAAATCACAGGAGCATGATATAGCACCCACCAGCTGCTGCTACGTACAAGAGTTGTGGCCATCAAATTTAATTATGTTAGGTATCTGAAATTCAGAGCACAGTTAACCCAAGAAACAGTATTATAATTAATCATATGCTTCTTAGATTAGCAAAGAAAAGCTGCTTTAATCTAAAATGTGGCTAAATACTAGAGCACAGTATTGCCACAATACTGTTAAAAGTGTAAAAATACTAAAACTAAAAAAGATGGTTCTTAAGCAAGGAGGTTTGCTGGCAGATGAGAAGGTAAATAAAAGTATATGGCTATTTCATAGGGGCTCTGGGGGCTTGGTCAAGGGTTATAGTCATCAATAATTGGGTTTCACATCAAAATGGAAAACTTTTTTTCCCATGACACAAGAATAACTCTATCACTGTTCTTAAACTTCAGAACCACACAAAGATGGAAGAAGAAAGGGAAAACACAAAAGAGGTTTCCATTTGTTCTTCTAAGATGCACTTCAAGTACATAGAGTCTGCTTTCAAAAAGTTACTATCTAGAAAAGCAAATACATATGTAAATCCAATGCTGTGCAGGGGTGAAGCAGAAGCTCAGCCTGTGGGCTGGAGGTTCCCAAAGAAGGAGACTGAGGGAACAGTTGAAAGACTTGATTAGGCAGAACCAGAAGCTGAATTGGTGAACCCAAGAGGAGTGAGCTTTGTCCAAAGGCAGCGAGATACCACCCAGAGAGTTGTGTCAGGGTGCTATACAGGGTCTAGTGTGAAGAGAAAGAAAAATGGAGAGACAATGTTTGAACTTTTAGACTGAAAGTCATAGAAGACCTTTAAATGATATGTAAATATGGCTTTCCTAAGGGAACCAGAAAATGGTTGGCAGAGAGTGTGTGGAGATAAGGCATTGCAAGGAGAGGAAATATCTGTGTAAATAGATGTACAAGAGAATAGTATGTGTGCTATAAATTAAGTTTAAGAAGAAAATGAGCAAGTGAGAATAAGTGAAGAGAATGGCACATGGAAATGTGCAAAAAGGAGGACATGGTGAGCAGCAGACAGCACTGGTAGACAGCCTGGGCCAGGATATGGCAGCGCTATAGGCCACTCAGTAGAGCTCATGGAAAGAAAGAGCTGGTATTCGAATATGTAAGCTTTGGAAGTGAAATGATTTTACTTAGGATTACCCTTTATTTTACATTGGAGCTCACTGGGATCACTGTACGATACCAGAATTGCCGAAGCTGAGGAGTACAAGATTTCAGCTAGAATGGCAACGTCTCATTCCTAGAAAGGAAGAGCTCTTGCCACGGTGTGAAACACATCTTCTTTAATTAAACATTATGAAGACATGGGTAGAGAGGTAGGAGAGGCACCTGCAATACCAACCATGTATTGACCTGAGGAGATACTACATATACTATTTCAAATGCTCCCAGGTTGGTGCTCAACAGCATCAACATCTATCCTTAGCGTCTGCATTTTTAATGGAAAACTACTGTGAATGGTAGTCCTGAAACCAGAAAGGCCAAACCTTCCCTGGTTGTGTCGGCATGATTCTTTCCCAAGCTCATTTGCACTTTAGTGGTTTTGCTTTGCTTGGCCTTTTCCGACTTGGCAGCTCAGGAAGTAAAAATGAGAAACTCAGCAGATCTTTAAAGAGTTTTACTCCAAATGTTCTTTTAATGCTAGTATTTCTTGGACAGGGATTTCTGATGTCCTAATTAATTGTTCTTGGTGTTTCTTTAAAAGCACCCTTTAGCATTTGTGAATCTGCCCATGGCTTTTGCTCTTAATTTGCACTCGCTGATATTTTCGTTTAAAGCAGGAAAGACACTTCTCCGTGGCCAGGTGAAATGTAAGTATATTTGGAGACACACTTGAAAGTTGTTGAATTCACTGACAACTTTGGGGCAGCAGCCTTAAGAAATGTCAACTGGCAAAAAGAAAGAAAAAAAAAAAAGAGTAGTGCTGCTCTGTCATTTCCTACTCCCCTCTGTGAGATCTGACTTTTAACAATCTTTTGTTACTTCACAATACATTTTCAACTGCATTCGAAGTAATTAACACCCAGAATAGAATCTTTTTGTCACATTTAATTATCAGATACCGACTTTCTTTTGGGATATCTGACAGTTGCCCAAAATGTTGGTCTTAATCTACAACCAGGAAGAGACCTCTGGCATAGTGAAAGCCACTGAAGTGGCATTTATTAAAGATAAATGGTAAGTGTCTAAAGAGGAGGTAAGGAAAGAGCACTGGCTCTCATCCCCCCGCCCTAAAATCCTTCCAGCACAAAGGGAAATTGCACTGGTGCTGAGCCAAAGCTCCATCAGTTTCATCCGTCATGTGATTTTTTAAAGATGTATGCATTCCTATACAGCATTACCTTTGCATTGAGAAATAAAGAGTATTCTGACCCTTACATTCTGGCTCCAATCTGCCAATCTGCCCATCAATACAAGGGTTTCTATTAGTCTATTATCTGGAAAGTGACTTATATAAGGCAAAAAATTAAATGATATTGATTTGAAATGAAAAAAGCTCATTTATGTGCATTTTAGGAACCTTAAGTGAATCAGCTAAATATATGCATTGAGTAAAATAAGACCCTCTAGGTAGTATCTTGTAATAAGCTGGAAACATAAAACCCATTAATAGTATTAGAAATTAGATGCCTAATGAATTGTGCCCATTATGGAGATTTTCTGTGATAACAATTCCTTGAAAAAAGCCAGAGACTGCCTGTAACTCTATGACATAAGAGAAAAGATACAAGTGAAAGTACATTTCACATGGTTAAAGAAACATAGGCCAAGTTCTGGTACTTACTATGTAAGGACTATGGCCACTGCGTCATTCAACACACTCTCTCCAAACAAGAGTGTGTACAGGTCAAGGTCGACGTGCAGTTCATGGAAAATGGCCAGCACTGTCACTAGGAAGACACATACAAACATGCAGGTTAGCTGAGATGCAGGCATGGAGTTTTCCTTGGCTATGGTCGCTGCTCAAAAACATTAATTAAATGCTTACCTTCTCAAACCCAATGACTTTACTAACACCAGACCTTTATTCAAAAAAAATATCTGATGCTTAGAGGCTTGTCTTGGCTCCCCACTGCTTAAAGACAAAATTTGAGCTCCCAAGTACAAGTCTCCTATAATCTGCATCTTGCTTACCCTCTAGCCTCATCTCCCTCTGCCCCCTTTGCCCACCCTTTGCTGCCTTTCTCAAGTCACACTGAAATTGCCATAATTTCCCAAACACACTGTGTAGTTTCTTAACTACCTTTGCATTTTGATTCCTTCTACTATGGCAGCAATTCCCTTCTCGTCCACTTGCTACCATCCTCCTATTCCTTAAACACACACACACACATACACACACACACACACTTCTTGCTACCGAAGACTCATTTTTTTTTTCCATTCTTTAAGAACCTTTCAAGTGTCCCCTCCCAACCCTTCAACTGCCTCATCAGAGACCTGACTCACTCCTTTCTGGATCCCAGCATTTGGATCAAATCACTGAACTTACCACAGAAAGGACTGGGAGCTCCCTGGAAATGGGGTTCATCTTTGGACACATGGTATTAGGCCATACTCAGTAACTGCTTGATGCATGAATGACTAAATGAATGAGTGAATGAATAAATGAAGTTGTTGCAATGGCCTACTCCTGTGAAGGGAGGCATGGTTCCACCTGGGTCTCATTCTGTCCGGAGATCACGCTCACCTATAAAGACGGACTCAGTGTTCTTAAGAACAGGACATGAGGATTTGTTTCTGGTTGCCTGCTGCATGGCCTGCTACTATATGTCATGTTCTTGTATTGAGCCTCTGTGAGTACATTAGGGCAGTCAGTAATCACATGCTGATTATCTGTGTTCATCAAAACTATTCAATATCTTGATATTTAAAACAGTTAAGCAGAGTGTGAACAGCAATCATTAGGAAAATGATCCATTGAATTAATTGCCAAGGGGGAAAGAGATAGGTTGAAAATGATACTGATGGCAAATGTTTAAGGCAGAGTGGGTATTTTTAATTCTGTTTTTTCCTATTTCATGGATGGTGAGGTTAGTAACTGTGTTGTACAAAATAGTGCTACGAGGGAATAAAAGCAAGAAAGTCAAGTTGACTTTGAAGGTTTTATAGGTAGGATTAAGAAGTTTGGAACTTGTTCTTTCATAATAGAGAGTGATTAAGAGTTTTAATAAGAGAAATGACACAATCTGAACCTTGGAAATAAAGCTCAGGCAGAAGGGCAGAGGGCAGAATGGACACATGGCTGGAGGCTTTCCCAGTAATTCCAGTAAGACATGAGTTGTACCAGGACAGGAAGAGGCCCGGATCCATGCTCCCAAACTCTTACATCTTCATTGTCTTGGGTTCTAATAGACCAATGACCACTGTGCTTTGTACTTCACAAATGTACCTCACTGGTTTTCATCTTCTCTGTGTGCCATAAGCCCTTAGCACAGTGATGCAACATAGTAAGCCTTTAATGAGTGAATGAATAAGAGATACCATCAAGGAACATACAGCAGAGGTGACAGCACCCCAGAGATATTTGAGATGGAAAATTGGTGGGTGTTGGTGCTTGAGAGGCAGCAAGGAATGACTCTGGATTTTGATCTATCGTACAACATGTGACTATATTTAATAGCAATGTATTGTACACTTGAAAATTGCTAAGAGAGCAGATTTTAAGTGTTCTCAGTACAATGACAAAAGCATGTGAGCTAATACATACGTTAATCAGCCTGATTTAGCTATTCTGCAAGATATGCATATTCCAAAAAATTCTGCTGTATACCATAATATATACAATTTTTGTCAATTAAAAAGTTTTTTTAAAGAAGCTACTGCAAAATCCAAAAAAAAGAAAGAAAATGCCATGAATTGACATGACAATTGGCCAGATCCAATTTTATCAGGCATAGAATCAATTTTATTATTCTAGTTGAATAGGTCCTATTAATCATGATAGGTAAAATGGTAGAGATTTTACTAGCTTTCTACTAGCATGAAGCTGTTAACATTTGCCACAACCTTTAGATGTTGCAGGTGGTGGGAGGGAGGAAGCAAACACTTCTAAATAATCTCTTTCTCCTTTTTGGATAGAGGTAAGACACTGCATCTACCCAAAACAAAAAGGTTACAGTGGGATTTGGTTAGCAACATTTTCCTTTTGCTAGGATTTTGTGGAATAAAAGTAACTTTTTAAAACTAGAACATTCTATCGTGGCCTCTCCATTGTTAACTTTAGTCTCTGTAGCTGTTCATTTGTATCATCAAGCTCTGAAAAGGACTTGCAGCCCATCTTCACTTCCATGGAGGTTTCCTAGGCCCACGAAAAGGAAGGTAAGGCCCTTACCCCACCTCCCCACTTACGGAGCCCCTCTGCCCTATGGGGAAGGCTCTACATCTGTCTAACGAAAGCTTTGAGCTTTGAAGAGGAAAGGCTTTTAATTGAATATCCAGTTTTGTTCACCACTGCTCTGACATTCCCACAATTCCTTTTGAACAAAGAACTGAACTCCATTTCATAAACGATGTCCCACACACAAGAGAAAACTGTTACTTTGCACATTCTTGTCTACCCTGTGAAGAAATGGAATAGTTTTGAAATAAAGCTAGGCAGTGTGTCCTACAAGAGGGAGTATTTGGCTGGGAACACAAAGAGTCGAATAGGTGAGTCAGGAAATTAGTCACCCACTCTGCTGCTGAGTTTGGAGCTTTAAAAAAATCTCATATAATTAGCTCCCTGGCAGGGCTCAGTCTTACATGCAATGTCCAAGACTCTCTGCAGCACCTCCCCAGGAGAGAATCTTTGGGACAGCCGTGGACATGCACATAGCAGCTCTGCCCACACCTTGCTAGGTTGGTAAGGATAACCTAGGTCCAAGGCAGGACTAAAAGTCAACGCCCATGTAAGTGAGAATTCTTGGGACCACAAGAGGAAAACACTCTGGACATCGTGTGGATAGGAAGGGGAAAAGATGCAATCCGATTTCTTAAACTTTTGATTTTATCAGACAATTTGGTCATTTCTGTCTTTATCTTACTTTAGTTCCACTCATCTTTTAGTGGCAGATTCTCATGCTTCACTTGTGGCTTGGAGTTCCTTCTCCTCTACATACCCTCTTCCTACCTGATGTTGTAGCGAGAGAAAAATTCACTTTGTCTTTCAAATTGATAATAAAAGATACAAGCACATATGATCTTATGCTCAAGTAGATAAACATGCATGCACACACACGCGCGCGCACACACACACACACATACACACCCCTACCTCTAGGTAAGCATAGTAGAGGAATGTGATAACTGAGAAATACTACTGAATCCCTGGAGATTGCTGAGAAAATAATTTCAGTTATCAAATGGTAAAGGTCTTTGAGGGGAACGAGTGAGGAGCCAGTGGTGTGGACTGCACTCTGAGAAGCTTTTGATAAAGGATGAAGAGAGAAAAATCCATAACCTATGAGGTCTAAGTGAGGCTTTCTCTTAGACATCTAATTTATAGGTTGACAAGAATAAGCCAGAGGAAAGAGAGGTTGAAGACAGAGAAAAAGAATGAGAAAACTGCTGGAGCAAGGTCTGGAGAAGGCAGAAGGAAACTGAAAGGCAGATTGGGAATGCATCTTTTCAGGAAAGTAAGATCATCTGCTGAGAGTCAGGAGAGAAACACATGAGTTAGAGGCTAAAGGAGGGTTGAAAATGTGCAGAATATCTTGGAGGCAGATAATGCAAGTTTCATGAAACACTGTTAGGGTCAAACACAGGATAATTTTCAATCTGTAAGAGAAAACTGTAGCACTAAAATGATGCAATATTTTGATTTCTTCATCATACCAAGGGTCTTTTCCCCTACTACAACTCTATTATAGCATCAAAACTTATCCTTTTTCATCTCAAAGATGATAACCACACCACCTAGTGATAAAAATACAGAGAGTGACTACATGACTCCATGAGTATCTCAATGTATTTACTCTAAGATGTTTTACAATTTTTTTAAACTGCTGTCTTTTCAACTGACCACTTTCTTGATGCCCTTTCAGAACTTCCAAGTCTTTAGGGTGATTTAGTGAGAGACCCTTCCCTAGAATCTCCATTAGCAGCTCTGTGACCCCTATTTTCTAAGTGTTTTATAAGGAATTTAAATTTCAAATGATATTTTAATGTGGCAGCTCTCAGCAACCTAGCACAAGATCTGCCTGGGTCGAAGAACAATAACATGGAATAGTTCCTACCCCTGTCCTCCTAAGTTGTCATTCAGCCTTGTCAGAATGCTGGCTCTCCCTTGGAGATTGCTCTCTATGGTTTTCTGTGCAAATCAGTATGTATGACACTTGTCCATGACACATAGAGAATCAAAAACATCTGAAGCTTTTGCAGCTGAATCGGTGTCAGGCCTGACAGGTGTAGAACCTTGGTATTCTCATAAACGAGGTAGCATTTTTCCATTTCCAAAAAATGATTATTGTGAAAATGTATTTTCTTTTTCTAAGAAGGAGCATGGAGGAGGAAATTCTCCTGTAACTTTTCCTACTTTCCCGAAATATTGTATACAGTGAAATCTGAAGGAGAGGCTTTCAAAAAAGTTGTGGTATCTGGGTGCAAGCTGAAATATGGGAATTATTTTGAGAACTATTAAATTCTCAGCAAAGATTCAGCAGCAAAATTGATGCCTGCATTGATTTTGCCAGTCAAGTTTTGCCAATCGTAATCCTAGAATACAAGTGAAAAGACTAACCCTTCTGAGTCGGAGAAACAATACCAGATTACAAAGCTAATGACTAGTCATTCAATTTATTGAGGTCATTCTAAATTTTAAGTTACACAAAACTTCATGAAGAATTTAGCCCTAAAACTTTGCAATTTTATTTTAAACATCAATATGCTATATCATTTTGGTACTGAGGTA